AAATCTCCATTTGTGGATAAACAACATTAGTCTGAATTTTTTACATTAAATATTACTGGAAATTAATTAAGGCTTCTTGTTGGATGTATTTTTGAGAACTAGATTTTTTTGTTTTTTAGGAAATACTTCATTCAAATGAACTGTAAATAATGTTTGACTAGCTGAAGATTTAACAAAAAATAGTTTGAGTAAAAGGTATTTTACATGAGTTCTTTTCAACTAAAATATTCATTTCCTTTGATTGTGAGCCTTCTCTAAATTACGTATTGTATTGCATGTTAGCTTTTTGTAGGCATCAGATATACTAAAATATTCTACTTTTTTTTTATTACATATTAGTTAGGAAGAATGTAAGACTTATATTTATTAATATTCTCTTATGAGCAAGTTGTTTTTGTTATTAATTTTCACTGTTATTTCAATTGAGACAATTTTGTAATAGTAGTTTGAAGTTTTATATACTATAACCAAATTTTCATACATAAAACTTATATTTACACAGTTTTTTCTATCATGAGGTGTGAGAACCAGAAGAATCTAAATTTAATTTATAGTAACAGTTTCAAATATATATTTAAATAAACTACTGTAGAAATTACATTTCTGCATTCTAATACATTAATTTGAATTAATAGTTTTCAATTAAGAAGGCTGAGGACAAGTTGCAAAATTAAAAACTTATACGAATACGAGGGCAAGGTGAAAAGTTCTTGGCCTAGTAGTGAAAAAAATGAGTTTTTTATTTTAAAAATGCATTTATTTTTCAATGTAGTCTCTGTTTAGTTCAATACACTTTGTCCAACATTTCTCCAATAACAGTATTCCATCCCTGAAGTGCAATTCTGGAAGGTCTTCAAAATATCCATTTACCGCTGCTATCACCTCTTCACTTGACCCAAAATGTTTTCCCACCAAAAATTTTTTAAGATTTGGGAATAAATGAAAGTCAGAGAGAGCCAAATCTGGCAAATAGGGAGGATGTTTCAATAATTCATACTTCAAATCCCTTAATTTTCCCATTGACAAAGCACCTTTGTGAGCGGGTGCATTGTCCTGGTGAAAGAGGATTTTTTTCTTTTGCAAACCAGGCCTTTTCTCTCTATCTGGTCAAGAAGATGTGCATAGTATTCCCCATTAATCGTTTGACCCTTTGACAGGTAGTCAATTAAAAGAATTCCTTTGGAATCCCAAAAAACACTAGCCATAACCCTTCCAGCCAATGCAATTGTCTTTGCTTTCTTCGGTGCAGAGCCACCAGCTTCTACCCACTGTTTGGACGTTGTTTTGACTCGGGTAAAGTGGTGAACCATGTTTCATCCATCATAACAAATCTGCGCAGAAAATTGGTTGGATCCTTCTTAAAATGGCGCAAACATTGCTGAGAAAGTCGATTCCTCATTTGTTTATGATCAGCATTTAACAAATGCTGCACCCATCTTGTGCAAAGCTTTCTCATACTGAGTTCTTTGTGTAAAATGTGCCTTACCCTTTCTTCTGACATGCCTACAGCCTTAGCTATCTCATACACCTTTAATCATTGATCATCTAGAACCATATTATGTATCTTCTTGATATTTTATTCGGTAGTTGCAGTTTTTGGTTGTCCTTCACATGGATCATCTTCAAATTGATGTACGACCACGTTTAAATTCCGCTGTCCATTTTTTACCGTTGATAACAAAGGTGCAGACTCCTTATACACCTTTACCAACTTTGGATAAATTTCTGTTGGCGATAAACCATCCAAAATGAAGAATTTTATGACGGAACGATATTCAAGTTTATTCATTTTGTCAAAAACACACACAATGCTCACTTTAAACAGCCGTATGAAACAAACTATTTGTCTGATCAAATTCACACTTGGTATTTACTTTGTAACAAGTTTGGAAACATAACCAGACGATACTTTCATTTGTAGTAGTGCCATCTATGGGTTAGGCCAAGAACTTTTCACCTTGCCCTCGTACATATAATTTTATTTTGACTCTGATGTTGTGGACTTTTACTTAAATGTAATTTGTATTGCAATATATGTAAAGCAAGTTATGCCTGTAATCATTTACTATTATTGTTCTAGAATTTTTTTTATAAATAGTGAAATAAATGTGGATGTTGCAACATGTTATACAAGATGGTTATTATTTTAGCATATGGTATAATTTAGAATTTTTGTTAAGTGATATAAACATCTTGGAAAAAAAAATAACTTTGAAGCAAAAATGAACTTAACTGTGAATAAGTGAAGATTATTTCTAACTTTTACTGTATAATTTTACCTAAAATATTATTGAGAAACAACAGTTTTGATTTACATTTATATAGGTTTTCATTTTTCATTCTGTATAAAACTTTGATTTTATTGAAACTACAAACCAATTTTAAAAATACTTTTAAGTGTTTAAATTAATTAATAAACATTAACAAATCTGATAATGTAGAAAAATCTCACTTTAATTACAACCATGTACAAAATGCAATTTTGAAAAGAATTCATTTAGAGAATGTACTTAGTTACAAGATGATAACAATAAAGTAAGACACCAACCAAATGCCATAAATCAATCGGGCTATTTTAATGCTAAACACTAAATAAATTACGTAATTAATTTGGCTCTAGAGGTAAGCATTAGGCACCATCTCTTATTAATATTAATAATTATAAATAAATTAGAACTGCTGGGAGAAAAAAAAAATCGGCCCGGAGCGGGACTCGAACCCACAACTCCTGTTTACCGTGCAATGCGTTGCCAGTTACGCTATCCGGACCTCCAGTCCGATCTCCTCTTCCAGCGTATATAAGCCAACCATACAACCATTGACGGTTATTACAATGCCGGCTGGGGACACATTCAGTGCCCACGTCCTACATCTCATAAGGCTCTCAAGCGGCCATCGCAAGCCCCGGCAATGGTTGTATGGTTGGCTTATATACGTTGGAAGAGGAGATCGGACTGGAGGTCCGGATAGCGTAACTGGCAACGCATCTGCACGGTAAGCAGGAGTTGTGGGTTCGAGTCCCGCTCTGGGCCGATTTTTTTCTCCCAGCAGTTCTAAATAATTATAAATAAATAAATTAATTAATTTAAATAATTTAGAACCTCTTATAATTATAAATTAATTTAAATAATTAATATTAATAAGAGATGGCACCTAACGCTTACCTCTAGTGCCAAATTAATTACGTAATTTATGTAGTGTTTAGCATTAAAATAGCCCGATTGATTTACGGCATTCGGTTGGTGTCTTACTATAATGGGTATCGGGTTTGGAGATGTTTATTGATAACAATAAAGTCTATGAAACTTTCAAGGTTTAATAGTCATATACAAGACGAAAGAAGCTTGATAGCGAATTATTAAAATATATATATGATTACTGCTTAAATATATAAAAATATTTAAGCAGTAATCATATATCTATCATAATTTATATAACGAAGATGTGCAGCAGACTATCAGAGTTTGATGTTAAAAAAAAAAAACATTAACATTAAAGAATTCAGCACAAAAATGAAAGATGTGTGATTAATAATAATAACTGGAAATACCTTTACCTGAAAGATTTTATAATTCTCTAACCTAATTCTCTTTCATATTTTATAATTCTCTATTTTAAGTGCATTGCTTTCCAAAGAGGATGAAGGAAAATCATCAATAGAAAATAAATATATAGACTATATTTAGCATTTTATATGATTCTTAATTTATATTAAACTATTCATACTTAGCTATTTTGTCTAACTTCTGATAAGTTCTTGTGAATAATATAGGCTGTTCATGAGATAGTGGCAATATTTTTAGAAGTAAGTTCTAGAAGCTTATAGGGATCCAAAAATGTCAAACATATCCCTTCGAATGCATTGTTTCAGCAGTAGAAGAAGTTAAAGTTTAGACTAGCTATCCTTTAGTATGCTGCATTGCAGAAAATCTCTAATCTTGGCTCTTTACTACAGCACAAAGTAATGAACAACAAGAAATGAAAGCAAACCTTATGTTTTTGCATCTTAAAGGATAACTAGTAAAAACTTCAAATACATTATTTCAGTGCTAGATGAGATTAAAGAGCTGTGTTGATAGGACATTTTTGGATCTCCATAAGGCCCAAGAAACATACTGTGTAAATATTGCTACCACCTTGCTTTGAATATGTTACACAGATCACAATTTTTCAACAACAGATTCCTAAAGTTTGCATTAAGGTACTTTAAATAATAGGTTTTTTGTATCTGAAAACAAACAAATTCAAGATCTCACATTCCTGTCCACATTAAGATTTGTCAGGATTACACTGCTGTTCTTAACATTTTTAATTTTCATGTACTTAAAAAGCATAAAGTAATGCTTAAACTTACACACTTATTTTTATGTGAAATTTAATTTCTTTAAATAACCTGTACAGACATGAATTTGGAACAATAAACTTATGTATTTCTTGACAAAATTTGCTGATTTCTATTTGAAAAATTAGGACACATTTTTGTATCACACCAAGTAATACTGAATAGAAGACATTTACATATCTAGAAATAAAAAAGTAAGTGTTGGATTTTTATAATTCATACTACTACTAACAAAAATTACATGTTAGTTTTATGATTGATTATTATGAAAGAAAGATCAAAACAATATGAAAAAATAATTCAAACTCTCAACCTCATAAGATGATACAGATTTTTCTGAGAAAATTAATTTTGATTTCACAAATACAAATCAAACTATTTTTCCTTAAATAGCAAGCAGTCTGTCAAATATTCAATGTTGGGAAGCCATGTTATATAGTATTAGTAAATCTTTTAGAAATGCAGTTTCTTCAATGAAATCCATTTAAAACTCCTGAAATTTATCATATTTGGAACAAATTCTATTTAAGGAAAATATTAAACTAAGGCAAAAATCACATCTTTTGTTTGATGACTCCATTGTTGTGAACTGTAGTAATCTAAATATTTAATAAATGCAAGTAGTTGAATGTACAATTTAAACTTTTAAATTTTCTAGTATGTTGCTATTGAAGAAAAGTGTGTCAAAGAAATTAGCATCAGTCATCCAGAAGGTATGACAATTTATCATTTTCCTGAAGTATTATTAAAGTATTCAAACTGATCTCTTTGTTTTCAGATGAAATAGAAGCTTTGTTGAAGCAGCTTGCAATGGAAGAGTATATTCACAAATTTAAATCGCAAGAGGTATTTTTTAATTTACATACAAAATTATTGCTTACATTAATATTGACATGATATTCTGATACTTCCAGATCGATGTGGAAGCTTTCTACAGTTTAACTGATGATGATCTTCAAGAACTAGGTGTAAATAATGTTCAGAAGAGACATCAGCTTCTGAAAGTTATTCAACAATCAAATCTTTCATAAAGTCCTAGAAAACTTTTTGATTATTAAAATTACAAAAAACTTTATTATTAATTTCACAACTGGATACAAATTTCAAAACTTGTGTACAAAAATAGATCTCAGGAAGAAAAAGAAAAGAAGAATCGTTGGTCATCTACACTTTTCTTTATACAGGAAAAGCGTATAGATCAAAATTCTCAAATTTTATATATACACAATACAATGAAATCTTATAATTACTATTATTATGTACAGAGTCTCTTGAAATACTTTATATAATGTTGAAATATATACAATGGGGTAGATTTCAATGTAATGCTAAATCATAACTGTTGAAGGGACTGCATCTTTACTGGTGCTCCGTCTAAAAAAATTCCATGTCAGACGTTTGTGTTTATCTTTGCATTTACTGTTGGACAGGCTCCCAGTTGGACTTTTGATAAATGTAGAACCAGAACTACTGGATGTGGTGGAAGCAGGACTGTTTGAAAGAATGGATTTAGGATGTAAATAGTTGCGATCCATAGGAGTTATCACTTTCATCACTAGATTATTTCCCCCTTCTCTCATTAGATTCACTACATCTTCATGTTTTGACCATTTTGTATCCACATCACCAATAGAAACTATAAAATCTCCCTCTTTCATTCCTGCCACCTTTAAATATATTAAAAATTATATTAAGATCATTGATGCGTATATAATATGCTACAAATTATATATGCGATGAATTTACCTGTGCAATACTTCCTTTATCTACACCAGCTACAATAACAGGACAATCTCCCCTCACACTAAAACCAAAACTATCCATTCCGGTTTTGTTGAGTGAGATGGTACGTGCAGCAGTCCAGTGATGCCTGGCAGAAAATATGTTAAGAGGACCCTATAAGAAAAAACTTTACACAATAAGTTATCAAGCAATTGCTATAATTCTTAGAAACAATCATGAAAACTCACCAAGTCGTGAAAAAGATCTATAACTTTATATTGAAAAAAATCTGGAGATGTTAGCGTTAACTGATATTTTGTGGATGCTGTAAAGAGAATATTCAAGTTTTATATAAAATTTAATAGAAGACTACAATAAAGTAAGATTCTATACGTTGTATCTGTGGTGGATCAAGAACTTCTTGAAAATTATCCTCTTCCTCCACATCTGTGTATCTATTTAAAGATATATCATGATCTTTCCTCAATCTTCCCTGAAGAGTGTCAACCTGTCTTAGTTGTCTGCACATGTGATGAAGACGCAGTGCTTCTTCGTGAAGAAACAGAGCTTCTCTTAAATGTGCTTTCCCTAGTTAGAAAAGTAATTTGAATACTTAACTACTTTGACAGTACTAAAAGAGATGATGATAATCTATTCTATTTTACCTAATTGTCTCTTTTCTTCTGCATTTTCAGGCACTCTAATATCAATACAAGTTGTGTTTTCTTGATCTTGCACATGCAAGAATTCCAATAGTCGTTTGGTCTTATCACTCAGATCACCTAAATATTGTAATTTATCGTTATCATTTGTATTTAGAAATGAATTTTAAGTGAATACAATACTTACCCTGGTGGTCAAGTAAACCAACTGCTACATAATGATGAGCCACTGCACGATAGTGTTCTGCCTTAACTCGTAGAAGGCTTATCCACGAGTAAGGAACATAGTCTTTCACTGGTGGCCGAGATATAACTTTATGAACATCACTATAGACATCAGATACCTACTTAAAGGGAATTTTTAGAACAAAGCAAAAGCAAAATCAACATAGAACAGGACAGAATAAAAGATTACCTTTGCTGCTTCTTGCGCCACATCAAAACATGCATCAATTCCTTGTTTTTCCACCTTGGTTAATATTAATTTCTCAAACAAGCACTCTCGTGCTTGAGCCTAGATTAAAATTTTACTCTAAATATCAAGTTCATTGATAAGTATATTTTAAATATCAAGTTACTCACCAACATTAACTGGGTGAGCATTTCTAAAGTTTCAGGTGCAAGGTCCATACTAGGAGCATTACTAAAGTTATCTTTGATGTACCTGAACATTCCTGCAGCTCTTAAAAAGTTATCTACTGCTGCATCCAAACCGGCACCTTTTGTTCGATCCTGAAAGTATATTATTTATATCAATGGACCTATCTAGGAATGAATTATGGCAACGTTGCATACAAATTAGTTTCTCCTTTTGTAGTTTAAGAAAATTGCCACTTAGATGTGGCACTACACCAAACATGAAATTACCAACTTAGCCATGTTAAATCAGGGCAGTTTTAACAGCATTTACAGGCCCCTGGGCAAAGCAGTGCACTGCACCTATGTGACCAAAAATCGGTGTTAAATTCTAGTCTGTGCATAAATTAGCAAGGGCCTCCCCAGGCAATTGTCCAGTGTGTTCATGTGTTAAGATAGCACTGATGTTAATACAAAAAAAAAAAAAGGTTTATTAACCTGTTTGGCTCCAATTTGAGTGTAGAGTGCAGCAATATTGAAGAGGATGCTAGCTTTCTCAAAAGCCACTGTTTTTTGTGTGCTGGGAACTCCAGTTAAGGAGTCAAACCTATAAATAAAAATGCCACATTAGTGATGCAAAAGAAAAAAAAAATGCTAAATAATTAATGGAAAATACATCCGACAAAATAATTACATATCATTCTCCTCAAACAACCTTTACAGGGAAAGTTGTGATTTATTACATAAATGCATGACAACATTCAACACAGCATAAACAAAAGTGTAATTCATTGCTTTATTCATGTGGATGATTTATGAAAACAAACAAAACAAAAATTCCCTTAAATTAAAACTTACCACACAAAATATATTCCCATACTACGATGAGGGGGGAAGAATCGCCGGTCTACAAAGTACAGCAAGTTGTAATATTCAAACAACAGCTGGATACCCGACTGATCACGTGTGGGCGTCCTAATTGCCTAGGGAATATAGGGAAAAATTATTGATATACAAACAAGTACTTTATGTTAAAATCTTTCAGCAACGACCATTACTTGTCTGGTATTCATGAATTCCTTTATGGAATTTTCGTAGCGAGCCGAATCTTCGCTGTAGTGTTCTAATATAAAATCCTGGAAATTAAAGTAAAACAACTGTTATTTTGCTGATTTATCCCTAACGCTAGCGTACAAAACGGGATTTCACCTTAAAAGTTTCTTCAAAATCGATTTCTTTAGTCTCTTTCAAACCGAGTGGGATCATTGGAACCAATTGAGAGCTGCTGCAAAGTGGGAGGGGGGAAAAAATCAAATTTTACGCAAATATTTTAAATTTTATGGTAAACAATGGGTAAAAATAATGGCAAATACCTGCCACTTTGGTACATCTGTACAGAACTGTTCATTTCTGCCAACTGCTCTTTCAGAAGCTGAAGATTCGAGTTGATGAAGCTCAACTCCAATGCTACCATCTCTCTCAGCTTTTTATTGGGTGTTGCCCTGTTAAAAAGAGATGGAAAATGTATCTTTCGTAAACCCAAACGCGGATTTTTCATCTAAAAACGAAAGTCTGCGACGGATTTCCAGTTTTCCCGGTTTAACGAAACATTCATTGAAAGCGGGGAAGGGAAATGAAAAACATCCCAACAAGTTCTGGAAGGTTGGACATCAAGGTCGTGTAGAGGCCGAAACTATAGTTTCGGTCCTCTTGGTCACGTTTATCGGGAAGCCGTTGTAGGAAATGACGTAACCGACAGAACGAGACCTTGGCTTAGCCGGCGGGAGAATGCTCGTTATCGATCAAGTTAACAGAATTACAAATGTGGAAAACGGCTGAAGGCCAAGAAGTCTCGTCTTTCTTAATCCATCACGCGCGAGATTAGAGAAAAATCCCCGGACGTGGCCATCCCCTAAGACGTTACGTGAGCGAGATTCGACACCTTGGGCAAGGTGAACGGAACAGTCACCTCGGAAGACCTCACGTGACAGAAAACACGCGCTAAGACTGTACGAAACTTACTTGAAAAGCTTCTCCGCGCCGTTCCTCATCATCATCTGCTTGTTGATATCCTGATTTAATTTCGAACGGCGATATTGAAGCTTCCCTCTGCACGTGGCCGCTCTCGGATCCGAACCCTGCAAAGACATGATCGATCAAGACTTTTTCCCTGATGACGCGGAGATTCAGGTTCCTAAAGGGTTGAAGCGAGTGGCAGCTTCTCTCGAGCCAGGACGAGAAAAGACATTTTAAGTGGAGGAGCGGAAGGATCCAGTTGAGACGTCCTCATTTTCGCGCGGCGAACTAGACGCGCTAAACTAGTTCGCGAATGACCGAGAGGCGAAGACGACCCGCTCTACACGTGTTAATAGCCGCGACCTATTTCCTAAACACTTTTTGCTCGCCCGCACGCTCTTAATGGCTACGAAAACACGATGCGAGCCGTTAATTACCTTCGTTTACCGAAATGGAATTGAACATTAGAATAAGTGTGAATTTACTTAATATGCGGTTGTTTAGCGCTGTTAATTCTTAAAGTTAAGGTGTCTAGTAATTTACAACACGTTACAAAATTACCTCGTGACAGATTAATCTAGAGACTTCATAAAACGTCTACCCCATGAAAGATTTTATATGGAGATCATTATGATGCTCCGTAGAAAATCTTCAAAAGCTTCCATCAAATTTGGAGGACCTTTAGAAAATTGTTATAAAACCCCACCCAGACTTTAAAAAAACTCGTCTCAGCATCATTTTCCGCAATCGTCACCATCACCATTACATAGTCGATCGACCGCTAACAAGTGCTCGTTGTCGGTTTCCAATTTTTATTTTTCAAAAAACTTATTTTCGTCGACTTCTAATTTAGTTCGAAATTTGCATACGAACCGGAGGCCATTTTTGTAGACCGGTTCGTTTCTTCCCAATCGACACTCTTCCAAAAAACATGCAATTCCTAAATTCGCATCGCGTCTAATCCGCATCAGAAAGGAAAAGCATCGAACAGGAGTAATAAAAAGAGATATATAGTAGAACGAGATTCTGAAGAACGGGGGGAATCTTTAAAAATAAAACCAGCCCAACTTAAGCAATAATTTTATCGCTTCTAAAAATTGAAATTCTTTCGACCAACAAGTTGCTGTCGCATAAAAGTTGCATGGTCTCAAGTTCCATAAATGATGATATGCTGTTACCTTTAAAATGTAGCAAAATTCGATTCACGCGATTAAAATCTCGATTGTCTGGAATAATATAAAATTTTCGTGGCAATCGAAATAAATTCTTGGAGCGTTTTATCGCGAATTGTTTATCTAGCGATCGCCTTCGGGCTAAAGTTCTAAATTAAATATTTAATTTCATATACACCTTTATCGATCTCGTTTTATTAACTACTCGAATTCGAGATTAGATCCGATCCCTACTTTTGATTTATAAGAAGTCGGGTTTTTTTTTATGGAGAATAATAATGATGATTAACTACAGAACTTGCAACTCGTCTACCGCGGTTATTTATAACCTTTTCTATTTTTAAAAGCTCTAGACAACGTTTCGAGCCCGTTCCGAGTGTATATTTACCAACCAAATTTTTGTTATTACACGAAGCATACAATTATCTTAGGGTTAAAAGATTAGATTCGTATCTATCTTCCATTCGACGGTATTTTGAAAAGTGGAGCATCTGCGTTATATTAATTAATACAGGATTTCTCAATAGCGAAGATACAAATTTTAATAGAACAAAGAATATGGTGCATATTCGAGCTTGTTTGCGGGGGTGAGCATCACATTCATGAAAAAGATTCGAATGAAGAGCGCAATTCGGAAGAGCTTTCGTTACACTAACCTGACCCGATTCTTGTAACGCCGACCTATATAGGGGTTAAACAAAGCAGATTAGCCGCCGGTAAAGGAAATTAATACTTAACACCGGGAGACCGGCAGCCGTGTGCAGAGATTCCTAGAAGACCCCTCCAGAGACAGGTCCCTGACAGAAGGTAATCCGAAACTTGTTAGAAAGCAGATCCATCGCGTCGAGGTGGTCTTTCCTATAAAGAATTGGCCATTCTTTCGGGAGGGGGTAGATATGCGAGATTTTGTTCGAAAGTAAACATATCGGTCTCTTTCGCGTACAGAAATTCCGAATACGTCGCGGAAACGTGAAACGAAGAACCAGATCCCGTGTCAATCACCCGACCCGATTCAAACTTTTCCCCACACTCGAAGCCGATTACGTGTTTTCCGATAATCTTGGTCGGGAATTAGGTCGGAATCTCGAGTTTATCGCCAGAGAAAAATATTTTTCTCTGGCGAGAAACGGTATTTTCGGAAGACAAATTATCACTTATCGCACTCATCCGCCATCTTTAATAGGGATTTAATCATCGCTCGACGTCGTGTCGTCAAAAGATGGATGTCGCACGATACATCAACGTTAAATTCGATTTTAAAATAGCAAGAAAAAACAACGCGAAGATTATTAATAGAAGACCGACGAATGACGAAGAATTTAAGCCAAATCGGCGCTAAAGACTTAAAATAATTGGATTAAGAAGAAACGAGAAACTTTTTCCATCCAATTATACCAGCCACGTAGGCGTTCCGTACCAGTCGCGCACGTCCCCGTCGCTATCGCGAGAGATGAGGAAGAGGAAGGAGATCTTCGCTCGTTAGGGAACGGATTAAATAGCCGACTTCCGGATCTCGCCACGCTAACCGGAAGGAAACTCACCGATTGTCCGTCCGGACTGGGGAGGAAAACTGAAGGAGCCCACATAACGGTTCTCGTCGACCGACTGACCGACTAAAATCGAGTGGAAGTCGTCTCGGAGAGAAACGAGAACCAGTCGAGCGACGCGACAGTCGGAAAAATTTCTGCGCGGTTCGATAATCCGGTTAATGGCCGCCTCCGCTAGATTTGGGCGGAAACGAACGAAACCCGGGTCATATGAGAAAGTTAACGCACATTCATTGGGGTTACGCTCTCCCAGGGATAAAAGGAAGCGGATGAATGTCATCCCGGTGCTCCTAAAACGTTCCGCATCTCTAGAAAATGTCGGAAATAAAGATGGCACTACGCTACTATTTTGCCTTCCTAGCTACGATTTTGACTGAAGTTTAACTTAGGTCATAAGGTCAGAAAAATTACGAATGAGAATTCGAAGTGTTCCAAATTATTAAAGAGGGAACATTACGGTAAAATTCTTCCATTACGGTTGCCACTTTGAAGCCAAATTCATCTTTAACAACAATTAAATCGAATTCAAGCTAAAAATCTACTTGGATATAATTTTAAGTAACAGTAGTGTAAAAAAATTACCTTAGAAATCATATAAAAATCACGTTTCATAAAAGTAAATTTAATGTAAGACAAACAATCAAATTACTGTCCAGCACCGTTTAATTAATGGATTCCTGACATTTTTTGCTGATCCTTCTCCAAAACTAGATATAATTCGCTGGCTATTTTCTATAACGGTAGAAAAACGAATTATTTATTTGTCCTTTTTTGATTATTTTTATTAATATTCAATATAAAAATATATAACACAATATTAATTAATATGTTTAAATATGAAGTAAATTTGTCCGCCGAACCCTAAATTACTCCTAGCGATTTATCGACCCCCAAGGGTGTTCGATAAATCAACTGAATCCCTCAAGGGGCCGAAAGCACCTGGTTAAATAATCATTAAAAATGGGATATAATTTTACTTTAAGGCTCATTAATTTATCAGAATCAGTAACGCAATTCCAATTATTACGTAATAAGGAGTGTCTCCCATAGAAAGTTCTCCCGGGAGGCATATCGCCCAGGTGTCGCTTTGTCATAACATTAATTAGTATCTATAAGATATGAGCTTTAATAAATACGGTCTGTATTTTTGCACAAACAACTTTAAAAATAGTTTAAGGAAAGTATTCGGAACTAATTTAAAAGTATTTAAGCCACACACAACCTATTGAATGGTTCATTACGGGTGTGTACTGTATATTATCATTAATTTCTCGGTAAGAAATTTAATCTCTTCGCGGATCTCATTATTTTCTGAAAAAATTCCTGTTTTTAAAATTGAATTACTAAGAATACACACGAGATGTTAACATTAGAAGTAAAGTATCCATTACAAACGTTGAACACTTGGAAAATAAGTATTGTATACCTACCTCAACATTGACTAGATTAATATAGAACTAGATTAATGAAGTTATGAGTATTGCATTAAAAAAGGAAAACACAGGAATTTAAACATGTGAAACGGATATTAAAGTGAAAATATTTCAATACCTCAGCTTTTGGCGTGAAAAACAATAATTCCGGCATTAAAATCCAAATTCCTGATAAGGAGAAGCAAGAGTTTCCCTCATTTCCTATAAGGAGTTCGGGTCCTAATGAGGGATTTATTTATTCCTGAAGAGATGGAAATGATGAAAACTTCATAGGAATAAATAATTCTCTCATTAGGATTGAAATTCCTGATGGGAAATGAGGGAAAACTCCTTCGGAAATTCGGGTCCTAATGACAAAAGGCTAAAATATTCCTAAGGAAGTTGATATTTACTTCCTTCCTTACTGATATCTAGTACAAATTTGATAATTCCTCAGCGTCGAAACTCAAACCTCAGAAATTTACAAACGAAACTAAATAGAACTTATTTTAATGACCAAAACATTAGTAAAATTACAACTGAATATGAAAAAAGGAAAAAACTGATTTTTGTTGAAAAGAATTTCCGATATCCTTGATCGTTTCCTTTCATTCCGCGTTATTTATTGACAAAAAAATTTCATAATATCCAAACAATTACTTTTATGAAATATCTCTACAACTTATCTTGAATTTTACGTTATCAGTTTAAATATAATTTAATTCTGATTATTTACTTATTTACAAGTACCGAAAATAAACCAAACTAGTCAATATTGATAAACTAAATATTGAAATAATTGGGAGATAAATTCAGATAAAATATTTCAGTTTTAATTTAAGGAGGATTGAGTAATGCGAAGTATCAGCATATTATGGGCTATATATACCACTCTCAATTACGCCCATAATGATTAAACTAGCCCATTGCCTTAAGAGCTGTACAATGGACAATTCAAAATTATGAAAAGACGAATCTATTATACTCGTAC